TTATTATTATTATTATTATTATTATTATTATTATTAATTATCCCTGCCATGTGCCTTTCACCTGCAAAAACTCCTTTTAAAGAATGGGGATTTAATGATTATTTGGTTATGGTGAATTCTTGTTTTATGGTGTGTGGGTTTTTTTCCTGTTTGTTGGTGTTGTGTGCCTTCAAGTCGTTTCTGACTTATGGTGACCCTATCATGGGGTTTCTGGGGCTGAGAGAGTGTGACTCACCCAAGGTCACCCAGTGGGTTTCCAAGGTCAAATGAAGAATCAAACCCTGGTCTCCAGGGTCGTTCAAACCTCTACAATATGCTCTGTATGTCTGTAATTTTTATCTGTATTAGTATGCTCCTAAATGATTTTAAACTTTTCAAAAAATTAATCCCATTTTAATACATCAACTAGTTTAACTGTCTTTTAACTTTATTTTATTCTCAGGTTTTTAGCTTTAGTTTTGGCCTTGTTCAAAGCCACCTTGGGTCCCATGCCAAGAGGAAAGCAGAATATTTAACAAATACTGAAAATTGTATTCTTATTGTATTCTTTTATTTTTATGCTTGTAACTCGCCTTGATTCCCTTTGGAAAGAGGCAGGCTAGAACTAAATATTATTTATTATTATTATTATTATTATTATTATTATTATTATTATTATTATTATTATTATGCCACAATGAAGGCCAGTGACTTGAGTGTCTAAAAACTGATTTTTAAATCAGCACTGGAGCAAAAAAGCCCAGATTCTCCAGATGATGGCTTGTCCTTTACTACCTTGTGTAATTTTATAAATTACCGGTAGATTTCATTCATTCTAAATACAGTCTTCTAGACCTTCAGCTACTTGTTGTTTCTTCAGCAGGATTTTAATATTGTTGTTGCATGTCTTCAGGTGGCCCTAAGGCAAAACAATCACAGGGTTTTGATGGCAGCATTTCTTCAGAGAGGGTTTGCCATTGCCTGCCTCTGTGGCTGAGAGAGTGTGACTTGCCCAAGGTCACCCAGTGGATCTCCATGGTCGAGTGAGGATCTGAATTCTGATCTTCATAGTCCTAGTCCAACATTTGCACCACTGTCTCTCTGTAAGTCTGGTAAGTGACAATATTGTACCCAATTGTTGTTGTTATGCGCCTATTATTATTATTATTATTATTATTATTATTATTATTATATCTTGCCTTTCTCCCAAAACAGGGACTCAAGGCGGTGAACACCAAATTTAAAATGATACAATTTAAAAACAGCACAAAAGCATTAAAATGTATACATGTGAACAATTAAACAATTTTAAAAGTTAAAACAGCTATGCATTACAATGTAAAATGTATATTTTATATCCTATAACTTATAGCAATCCGATCCCAGGGTTTTTCTTTGCCAGATTTCATCAGAGGAGGTTCACCGTTGCCTGTCCCTGAGGCTGAGAGAGTGTGACTTGCCAGTGGGTTCCTATGGCTGAGTAGGGATTTGACCCAGTATGGTTCGAGAGCTGGGCTACAACTCTGGAGACCAGAGTTTTTAGTTAAACGTTTTTAGCTTTTAATAGAATTGCAGTTGAACTTTCTCTTAACTTTTCTGTTAGTAGTTTTTCATTATATTTCGTCTTAAATGGTGGCAAGCCATTGTGGCACAGAGGTTTGAGTGTTGAGCTACGACTCCAGAGACCAGGGTTCGATTTCCCGCTTGGCCACTCACACACAGGGTGACCAGATGTCCTAGCCACAAAGGAGGACAAGGCACCGCAAAATGTAGGACATTCTAGAAGAATGGTGGACAATGCAAATTCAATGCTAAAGAGCCTAACATAAATTCATGCTTCTCAGCCATGCTAAAAATGGAGGGCATTTTGGAATTCCTCCTCGACAGAAGGCTAAAATGTAGGACATGTGCTGGAAAAGGAGGCTATCTGGTCACTTTGGTCACACACTCTCAGCCCCAGAAAACCCTACTCTAGGATTGCCATAAGTCGGAAACAACTTGAAAGCAAACAACAACACGCTGACTGTCCAAAAGCTCCAAAAAGATTATTTGGAGGCAGCTGAAGAATAAAACTCCTGAACATCTCACTTTAGTGGCCAACGACCCACAAGGGCAATAAAGTGCCCAGGCAAACTACAACTCACCCACTGCAGCCCTCGCTGGGTCACCATCCTCTGCTCCAACTCGAAAATACATCAATGCACAAACATGATTTATTTATTTGAGAAATGCCAGAGATCTAGGAACTCTCCGCTTCCTTCCCAACACAAACACATCCTCTTTTTAAAAAACCAATAGTGGAATGTGGCATCGCTGTACTGTTTTGACACTGTAATCATTTAATTCTGCTTTCATGTAACACTTTTCTACATTTGCAACTGTGCTGTTTTGAACCTTGTAGGCCACTCCGAGTCACAATTTTGGGGAAAAGGCAATAAATAAATAAATAAATAAATGTTACCAAAAGAATAACTATCCAGATCTTTTCAACACTGCACTTTGCTTTGCAATGTGCGACACTTTTTGTTTTAAAGGTTGCCACTTTGTTGAGGTTGTTTTTCTTTTTCTTTTTAAAGGATGTGAGTCCAAAAATGGCACCCATGCAAATTTTGCAAACACTACCCTCAGTGCCCACAGAACCGCCTTTGTTCCTCCAGGGAGACTCTAGGAAGAAGACCAGCTGGGTCTTGTCTCTGATTTGAAATCCTCCTGGTGTGCAGAGTTGCTAAAACCACAACCATGCGACAAGAGGGGCAGCATTCATCCGCCCCTGCCCTCTTACCTGTCAGCCCCATGCTTCGCTCCTCGGCCTCCACAGCTGGGCTCTCAATGTCTCCTCTCCAGCAAAGAAGATGAACGCCAGGATTATGGTGTCTCTTGTGTGTGTGTGTGTGTGTGTGTTTCCGCTGTCTTATTTTTCTTTCCTGGCTGCTGTTGATCTTACACACCAGGAGAGCCAAGTGTTATTCACACACACATACACACACAGAGAGCCTTTCAAAGCATGCGCCTGCTTTTCCGCTGCTGCAGAGACAATGCGCTCTCTTGTGGCTGTGCACTGTCAAGACCTCTCAACATCTCCACGTTGCTGCTGTTTTGAATCCCAAAGATATGGACAGGCGGAGAGAGATGCACACTGGTATAATAATAATAATAATAATAATAATAATAATAATACTTGCTTACCAGACTATTTGGAGACACGGGTTCGCTGTCGCTGGTTACGCAGGACACAAACAACCACAGCAGGAAAGCATCACAACCGTCGTGGCAAAGCCCCAAGGAACAGGCAAGGAGACTTAAAGCAAGACAGTGTTGGAGGTTTTGTGTCAAACGATCGGGAAGGCCTCCCCTGCGGCATGCAGACTGGCTGGATTGTCAAGCTCACTTTTTGCACAGCTGCGCATGGTTGCAAACCTCACATCAACAAAGCCACACTGCAAGGAGAAAGAGGATGCTGTGGCGACAGAGGTGGGAACAGGTAAGCTAGTTCTTGCAATAATGGCAAGTAGTGCACGGGACTTGTGCGGTTTTGAGTGGATCTCGATACACAAGGGAAGCAGCAGCGGTTGTTGCAGCTCGGACAGAGAGGCAGGTGACAACATGCACAGTGCTGCAACTTGTAAATGCACCGCATGCCACTTTACGGAGCTTTGCGGGAACAATGAGAGGTGCAGTACGGTGAAGCTTTTGCAAAACAAGGGATGGAGAAAGCAAATCCCTTCACGTTGCTCCAAAGAAAATGACTGCGAACAGGAGGTGCTAGGATGTGCCACTAACGCAGGCAAGCATGTTCTTCAAGCACCGTTGCATGGCTGCGATGCATGAGGAAAGCAAATTGTTGGATGGACAATGCCTGGGTCGACATTGTGAAAAGAACCAGTGGCAGGTACAGGCTAAATGGACAAGTCCAGGAGGTCACATGAGGATGGCCTAAAAGAGAGAGAAAAAGAGAGAGGCTCCTGATAACTGCTTGCAGAAGTTTAACACATAATGCACTATGCACTGCTGAGAGGCTATGTTTCCTGCTTCGAGGAGTGGGCAAAGGCCCCATGCAAAATCTCCCGAAGCACCCTACAATATACAGTTGGCCTTCTGCATCCATTGATACTTTATCCATAGATTCAACCATTCACAGTTTGAATATATATATATATATATATACACATCTATATACACATACAGTGATCCCTCTCCATTCACGGGGATCCGTTCTGGACCCACTCACCCCGGCAAATGGGAAATAACGCAAATATTGGAGACCTGTTGACTAAAACGGTGGTGTATGCCTGTATGCGCTGCTGTGTGGCGCCATGGGCACATATGCCATTTTGTCCCTCATGGCTTCCCGTCCACAAAAGACCAAGGGATGTGAATGGGAAGACTGCAAACCACAAGGGATGCCTGTATATTCCAAAAAGCAAACTGTGATTTTGTCACTTTATATAAATGATACAATTTTACTGTGCCATTGTATTTAATGGGACTTGGGCATCCATGGATTTTGGTATCCGTCAGGGTCCTGGGAAATGGGGGCAGGAAGATGGGGAGTGCAGTCAGGAAATCAGAAGAAGATTAAGAATGGGGAGGG